AGACCTGGGTTCGATTCCCCACCTGGGTACGTTGTGTGAAGCCCATATCACATACTCTCTGAACCCTTTTCGTTTAAGCATTCTTTTGATATCGGAAAACAAACTGATCTGCACTGGGATGTGAGAAAAAGTGTAACTCTTAACATAGGTATCTCTTTACAAAAATACAAGGATTTTGTCCAGATAAATGATCAGCTGCATCAAGATTTTGCGGTACCACGAGTGCCGTGAACAGCCTTTTAAAACAGCCTCAACAATTATAACTATATACCTTGCTGTTCGTGTGCAACACTAGAAATATGCAGAGTACCAATTAAAAAATGCAGAAAAATATAAAAAATGTCACTTACAAGTACACCTCGTTTTGTGGAATAACTGGCTTTGAATTATCTCTTAGTTGCCATGGTTGCGGGTTCATTGGGGGGTTTTTTTGGAGCGTGTGAATGAAAATTATAAACAGTGCTAGAATATTATCCATGTCAGGGTTCAAAGAATTCTCGTATGATGGTTGGGTATATTTTGTTATTTGTTGTTTTCAGTCAGAGAACCAATGACCAGTACTACCCATATCCATAATCCAGCTGATCAATGGTCCAACAATCAATATCTTTCTTTAATCGATTTCCAATTACTTTCGAAACACACTTTCCCCATAAGAATAATGGATCGCCAAATGACGAACAATGTATCATGGTATATGGCTAAATGGCGAATAATGGCCATAATATTCGACTAAATGGCGAATAATGGTCATAATATTCGACTAAATGTGAATAATGACTATGCTACGCGTCCAACTGGCCAGTAAGGGCATTATGTATAACACAAAGGCGTTTCCGAGAATATCATCAACCATTCACGTTAGGACGAAGATATTTTCTTATGTTTTCGTAAACAAGGGATTTCGCAAAATACCAGCTATAGTCGTAAACTGGGTTCAGTTGATCTTCACACCCTTGACTTATAAATCAAGGGCTGATGAAAGGAAATTGCAATATGGGAAAGCGAGAAGTGGAAGACACTTCTTGTGGCTTAACTGTAATCAACGCTGGGTAGAACGAACCAAATCGGATAGACCGAATGTGAGCTAATATGTCACTACGTCATAATCTCGAATGGTTACAGCAGAACATTTCACGTGATCAGGGACAACCTTGTAAACATACTATGATAGTGTTAACCCGTCACGCCTAATGACCGGGTTCGATGCCCAGCGTGGGAATAAACGTGTAGCTGATTTCTGATGCCGTGGACGAAATTATTGTTGGATAACGCCAGTGAATGTAACATGAAGATAACGAACTAGATGTTAGATCCCTTGCTATATAATAGTCAATAATTGCAATGATATACGATATGAACCAGTGATGATGTCGGGTAAGAATACACGAAATTCCCCTAAAGCAAACCCGATGCTTGTCGTAAATTCCACTAAATGAATCTGGGTACATTATTGTAAGGCCTGGTGGCTTGGTTGGTTGTATGTCATCATGCTCCTAATTGCATGGGGTGATGCTCATGACGTCCATCCTTGTGTTATATGGTCCAGGTACATACCGCCGTAATATAATATAATATACACTTAGAAGCGTATTGGTCGTTCAGTATTTGAAATGGGCATCAATACAAGAAGTGATTACTTCTTATTGACCAGCTATCACTTATTTTATAACACGAGTGTTGAAAATATGTTTAGCGATATCACCCTCAAGGTATAGTAGTGGTGGAATTGGGTTTAACGTCGTGCTTGAGAATATTTCACTCATATGACGACGTGCATGTGTGTGTATGTGTATATTTATATGTGTGGCTGCTTGTACTAGCCCTGACTGAAGCTGGTTTTATAGTGCTAGCCCACTGAGATACCATGCCGCAGTGAAGCATGAATACCCCACTCAGACACATTTTGCTGACTCCGAGCCGACCAGTACTTGTTGTACCCATTAATGCCGAGCGCCAGACAGGGACCAACAAGTACCATATTTTAACGTCTTTTGCATATGACGTGGTCGGGGATCGAACCCGCGACCTTCCGCACTCCGGGCGGACGCTCTAACCACTACACCACGGAGGTGGTCCCCTCAAGGTATAGACTGATCATGGCCTTGAGAGTACAATCAGAGTTGTGTGCCAGAGACAGAGTATACTATGATTGGAAGAGCGATACCCTGTGGTGTCACGTACCAACTGAATATAAATACTCTCTGTTGTATACAAACTCTTGACTTTTCACGCCCGTGAACATCCTCACCCAGATTTTACTGAGGAGTTTAGGACGTTTTGAGGGGTTGTTTTATCCTCTTTACCTCAATCACAAACTTTATTTGACCATTTGAAAACGTTCGAAGTGATTCGCGGCATAAATCGTTCGATGTTGGGTTTGTTTTAGGTGTACGGCATTGAGGACGACGTGTTATTCATGTCAGCACGCCCGCGTTTGACCTGTCAAACCGACAGAAGTGTTTACTCGGTACACAATGTGATATTACATGTTTGACTTTATGATTGAATACCAAAGGATAAATATTTACTTGTTTTACAAGCAACATGCTTGTAGGCATGCACTTGAAAAGGGTTGAAAAAATGACAGGCATAACCAATCGATATTTCTGTAACCAGGATACTATGTTTAACATCCATTTCAACTGCATGCGTTACTGCTTAATTCTCTTCTCATAAATATATCGTAATATGTGGGATCTAACATATAGATGATCCATACAAATCTGATGTACGTATTATGTATACGAATAAAGTTGAAATTGTTAGTCACTTTTCATCATATTCTATCTGCAAAGTTACATCACAGTATACTGATTTCTTTCCGTAGTTACAGATCTGTATATCGTCCGTGTTTGAAGACATTTGTTTGATGATCGACTTATTTTAATCGTGTCAGCTAATCGATTTCCAAATCATTACCTCGTACAATATTCATGATCAATATATCCAACAATATCGCGGATAAACGATGTTATAACCCTGGCCAATGTTGTGTTATTTTGCATAGGTAACGTGCTACACAAGTTGACTCTGAAGCGAAGTATTCGATTTCCAGTTCTTGTGAAAGGAGAACTGGAAAATTCAAGTTTTTTTAACAGCACAAATTCAATGCTAAGGCCAGTGAACCTGTACAGATACGAACGCCGTCTCCTGGCTCAAATTTCATTACCCTGAGTGTTGACACGCTTAGTGCAGAAAGATACGTCACTACTCGTTGTCCCTCGCGTCATTTCAGGAGGGTGATGAAAGACTTTATTCTTCGCTATGTTATTCCTGGACATTCCTGTTGACTACGGGGAAAAGGCATTCGTCGTAAATCGCATCTTTACGTAACCATGAAGCAATTCGAAATATTCCGGAATTGGAATCGAGAGATATTAAATTCGACCGTCTTGTCGACCTATGATTTATTGACTTCTCGCCTGATGTCATATAAAGAAATGCCACGCGAATTACCCGGCTGGGCTTGTATATATGCCAAGACATGAGGGTACTGAATATATATAGACCTCCATGTATTTTTTATGTAGGCCTTATGAATAATTCAAGAGGGTAAAGCTACCCATGGTCTCAGCCTGGTTCCTTGGGTCTGTTGCGCCTGCGCTAACGCTCCGACACTGACCCAGCCTGGTTCCCTGGGTCTGTTGCGCCTGCGCTAACGCTCAGTGTCGGAGCGTTAGCGCAGACGCAACAGACCCAGGGAACCAAGCTACCCATGGTCTGAGGTCGCAGCTCCCATATTCTGTACTTTCTCTCCAAGCGACACACCGATTTCGCTGTTATGGGACAACAATGTTAACATGATTTGTTAATAGGTTATGTAAAGGCGATACTGTGGGGACATCGGCCAGACAACAAAGCACTCTTTGAGTCAGCGGAACTGAGGTTCTGATGGTCATGATGTGTGATCTAGCATATATCACCATTATGCCCGTTGCTCTGAACACCGTGTTGTTTTTGTTCCGAGGTCCCGACAAGACGACCCGTGAAGCTCCGGGTAAGAATTGATCTTCAGTAACCCATGCTTGTCGTAAGAGGCGACTAACGGGATCGGGTGGTCAGGCTCGCCGACGTGGTTGACACATGTCATCGGTATCCCAACTGCGTAGATCGATGCTTATGCTGTTGATCACTGGATTGTCTGGTCCAGACATTTCAGTGTTTTGTTGAATATATTTTCACCTCAGACTGGAACATTATAAATATGAAGATGATTTTCGTGAATACAAAATATTTATGAAAAAAACCAACATGCATATGCATGATGTATTTCGTTCATGTTACACGTATATTGTTTGCAAACGCCTAATAAGCCTTTACGGGGACAAGTATCGAGAAGATGTTTTATTCTCATAACCTACTTATCTCATTCTGTCGGTTATCCATACAGAACAAAATCTGTATAATTGTTTGGAGAAGAATGGAACAAAAGTTACACAGTGTCATTATAACATACATGCTTGCAGTAGTGAGTTTAGTTTTACGCCGCACTGAGCAATATTCCAGCTATATGGCGGTGGTCTATACCAGGCATTCCAGTGATCAACAGCATGAGCCTCGATCTGCTTGCAGTAATTGCATGTACATGTGAGTGTGTGTGTACGTGCGTGCGTGCGTGTATATATATATATGGGTGAAGTTAAGGGGGTTAGTGGTTAAGGCGTTCGCTCGTCACGCCGAATATCCGGGATCGATTCCCAACATGGGCACAATGTGTGAAGCCCATTTCCCTTGTCGGTAAGAGTTCCTCCCGTTCCCCCATCCCAAATAATATGTATAAATATTCTAGAATTATAAACAATACTTAACACAACAATTACTAGAGAACTCACAAAATGATTAAAAGTCCAAAATTTAAGTTAGGGCTAGGTTTAGGGTTAGGTTTAGGGTTAGGTTTAGAGTTGGGTTTAGAGTTGGGGGAACGGAAGGAACACTTTCCTTCACCTTTTATGTGTATCACTTCTAAATGCCCTTGAAAAACTTTAAGCATTATCCCAGTTTGTAATTCTTCTGACTTGTTAATCTTATGCTTCACGTGCTGCACGCTTTTCTCATTCGAAAACAACACGTGCGCGCGCCAGGTGACTCCAGGTCGTCTGACGGAGGTCCCGGGCTGAGACTCGGCATCAGATATGTAAGTAGGTTACTTGCTTACATCTCCATTGTTTATGTTAAAGTTACTGTGAACGATATAGTACTGTCAAACAAATCTTTAAGATCAGCACTGTAGCAGATCGAACTTATCCATGATTTCAAAACGGCAGGACATCTATTGGTAGTCTCTCTATATATAGCACTTGTATGTAATTTCAAAACCGATAATGATAAAGAAGATTGTACTACCAAAATAAATAGTGTGAATCGTGGGAAAGAGTTCCTTCCGTTCCCCCAACTCTAAACCAAACTCTAAACCTAACCCCCCCTAACTAAATTTTGGACTTAACTTGTGTTAACTTTTGTTTATTTTGGACTTTTAATCATTTTGTGAGTTCTCTAGTAATTGTTGTGTTAAGCTTTTGTTTATAATTCTAGAATATTTATACATATTATTTGGGATGGGGGAACGGGAGGAACTCTTACCGAATCGTGAAATCTAATATCCCGAAGTCATTGGATTTCTGCAATTCACGAAGTACAAGTAAACATTTACTGGACTTTTCATTTAAAGTGATCTGAATGCCTTGTGGCAAATAAGAAATACCTGTCTACTTGGTTTGTTTGTTACATGCTATGAAAGGACATACATTGTAAATTATGAGATTGTGTTTAAACTGGAGTTATTCAGAGTAATTTGGTACCAGTGACTTTCCGGTGTAAACGCAAGCCAGGAACGGAAGGCATGGGTGATTTTATGGATACTTCAGTCCGCCACTCAATCTGAGTAATTTCTTACCCTGACCCGTGACTGTAAATGGTCTTCTGCAACCCATGCTTGTAACAGGTTGGGGGGCGGTGGGGTAGCCTAGTGGTTAAAGCGTTGGCTCGTCACGCCGAAGACCCGGATTCGAATGCCCACATGGGTACAATGTGTGAAGCCCATTTCCGGTGTCCCTCGCCGTGATGTTGCTGGAATATTGCTAAAAGCGGCGAAAAACCAAACTCACTCAGTCAGTGAGTCAGTCAGTCAGTGTAACAGGTTGGGGAAACCTACCGATCGGAAAATAATAGGCGAAACGGAATATTATAGGACGTTCTGCCTATAATTATGATATTTATCAAATAAATTTGAGGTGGTGCATTTCCGCATTCAAGTTTTGGTGTCCTAAGGTTTTCATTCAAACCATTTTTGAGAATTTTCATCACATAATAAAGGAGTTTGGAAATTGCTCATTAAATATAAATCTATAATATTTCTGACAATTTTCACTAAAAATTAATGATATAGTCAGTTTTAGTTTTCAAAAGGAATATCTATGCAAAATTCTGTTCTTAATGAAACATCTTCTCCTGAACATGATATAAATTTCCATTTTGTCCAAAAACTTATTTTTTTTTTAGCTGAGCTGAGGTCCATTAACTATTCATCTCTATGATCATATAAAACAATTTCGTGCGGTAATTGATAGTTTGTGAAATAATTATAAACATGTTCAAATATAGCCCGATCGGCCCTTAGCAAAATAGGCCTATATAGGCCTATCCTGTTCGGCCTATTATAGGCCGATCGGTAAGTTTCCCCAACCTCCTTGTGAAACTAACCGGTTTGTGCCTGCTGGCTCCTTGACTTGGTTAGTACATGTCATTGGTAGATCGATGCTCTTGATGTCAATCAATGGATAAGCTGGTCAAGGTTCGATTACTTACAGACTGACGCCATATAGCCGAATATAGTCACATTTGTAGTGTTAAAAAAATCACATTAAACCTAAACTATATGTTTCGCTTTTCACGAGTGTTGAAACACTGACGACCATTTAAAAAACCCTGACTTAAAGTGTGACCCGCCACTACTGTCAGGTGAAATATAATCATCGATTTTGATAATTCAGATGTAGGGTTTTTGCTTGACATAATATGGCGTCTAAGTAAACTTAGGCTCAGTATTATTCGTTACACTGCTATACAGTATGGCAGTGTAACGAATAACACTGAGCCTAAGTTTACTTAGACTGACATAATATGGTACTTCTGAGGTGCTTCTTAAAAGGAAAACTTTACGGATTAAATAACAGAAACAAATGTACAAGGTCATCTGTGATAAATTTCTAGAACATGTTGCTGAGTTTTGTCATAAGCATGGTCTTAATTGGGGTTATATTTGTTTATTGTCTAACGCTGCACTCATATGGCAAGTCTTAATCAGACAATCCAGTGATCAACATCATGAGCATCCTTCTACGCAACTGGGATACGGTGACACGAGTCAATCAAGTCAGCGAGCCTGACCACCCGATGCAGTTAGGCGCCTGTTACGACAAGCATGAGTTGATGAAGACCAATTCTAACCCGGATCTTCACGTGTCACCTGAGTTATTCATTTGGGGGTCTTGCGAACATGTCACAATCCTTGAAACGGTGACCGTGTTCGGCAGATTGGCTCCAGGATTTTATGGGGGCTTCGGTCTTGTCACACAGTCACGCACATGTAGCATGGGGGATGTCTCCTTTCCGAGTTCGAAACATACCTCCGTTAACTAGCACCGAATGGGTACCCGATAGGATGAGACGTACTGTGACTGTTAACCTTCTTGCGCACCAGAAGCAGCGCTATGTTTGCATAATCCCGTGGGAGTTGAGAATGAAAGATCCTATGCACACTAATCCATTGACTGGGTTATGATTATACATCGTTTTATTTGCACGCTTGTTTGGGTCCCCTTGTTTGTTAGTTACTTAATGGACCGCCTCCGTGGTGTAGTGGTTAGAGCGTCCGCCCGGAGAGCGGAAGGTCGCGGGTTCGATCCCCGACCGCGTCATACCAAAAGACGTTAAAATATGGTACTTGTTGGTCCCTGTCTGGCGCTCGGCATTAATGGGTACAACAAGGACTGGTCGGCTCGGAGTCAGTATAATGTGTCTGAGTGGGGTATTCATGCTTCACTGCGGCATGGTATCTCAGTGGGCTAGCACTATAAAACCAGCTTCAGTCTGGGCTAGTACAAGCAGCCGCACATACACATACACACGCATGCACGTCGTCATATGAGCGAAATATTCTCAAGCACGACGTTAAACCCAATTTCACCTCACCTCACCTAGTTACTTAACGTCGCACTCAGCAATATTCCAGCTATATGGTGGCGGTCTGTAAATCGGGCCTGGACCAGACAATCCAGAGATCAACATCATGAGCATCGATGTACGCTATTGGGTTACGATGACACGTGTAAATCCAGTTCAGCGGGCTTGTTTTAGGGTACTGCGCATTATAAGCTGACTGTTAAAATACAAGGTGGATTGAAATAGCAGTCGTTGTGTAATTTGAATATAAATAATTTGCGTTTAAGGGGAGCTGTATGTTTTGGGTGTCCGTGTTCTGGGTTGAGGATTTTGCTTCTGGTAAATCCCTGAATACATGAAACTTTATTGGAAAACATTTGTGCCATATAACATTGTAGTCTGCGTTCTAATACCAGAATCGCCCTTGTAATGGGTAAGTCTGTGGTCAAGATGCCTTAACTCACTTTGGGCATCTTCACCACCACACACTACATGTCACATCGTGATACAACCTCAATGAAACGCTGTACCAATGTAAGTGGCAACGTGTTTTGTCGGGTAGTTAAACTCGGTATTTTTTCTATTTCATTGTGCTCTAGAAGCATGTAAGATTGGCAATAGTTCATGATACCACAGGTTTCCCTGGTCCATACTCGAATATTTACAAGCCGCCTATACTGGCATCAAAAATGAAATAAACGGCTTTAATCCCAGCTTGCTCACTCATATTTCAGGACCTTGAACAGAACTTGTGGTCGCAGCCTGAAATGGAAGTTCTCCGTCCTTCTGGTCGCTGGTGTGTTCAGCCTGCTTGCCTTCTTTGGGGAGTTCCAGAACAAGGCAATTGGCCGACTCTCACAGTATCAGTTCATAAGGACCCCTTATGCTCATATTCCGAATAAATCCGCAAGGAATACAAGTGGCACTTCCGGTATCAGGGACACACTGAGCAGATTGAATGGAACCCTTAAAGATGCAAGCACGGGACAATCCTCAAGGAAACAGGGGGTTGTTTCCAAGTCGGACAAACCTAAGCTACAAGCGACCCGTATGAAGTCACCATCTGCTGCTGGCAAAAGACATCAACCCCAAGCGAAAGTATCCTCAACAACATCCCCGAAGAGGTTTAAAAATAGACTTTTCAGTAATTGGAAACCCAAACGTTTATCTAAAACATTCAAACTTAGAGCCAAACGACACAGTAGTTTAGATCAACTTAACTCCAAACTGCAATCAAGACCTAAGGAAGAACCTTTATCCGACAAACATTATGGTCTGAAACTCTCCACCAGAACCAAACAGTACTCCTTTCTCCTCAATGTCTTAGGAGTTTGTGATCGTTCTACGGAGCTCGTTGTTATCGTATGCTCGTCACCCTCTAATCTTGTGAAAAGAACTGCCATACGGAAGACTTGGGGCTTGGTCGCCAAAGATCCGAAATACAAAATACGACTAGTATTCCTTGTTGGAAGAAGCCGCTCACCAAAATACCGCGCGCTTCTCAAAAATGAAAGTAGGGCATTTGAAGACATAATCCAGAAGGACTTTGTTGACAGTTACATGAATCTGACGCTCAAGTCGTTATCAATGCTTGAATGGGTGACGCACTACTGTAATTCCTCCAAGTTCATCCTGAAGGCTGATGATGACATGTACATCAACCTGCCCAATCTGATCAAGGCCCTCCACAGACGTAAAGGCGACACGTTTATTATTGGCCACCTTCACGATAAGGGGAAACCAGTACGTGACAAAAAATCCAAATGGTTCATTCCACGAAAAATGTACCGTAAAGATAACTACCCTCCGTTTACTGTGGGCGTGGCTTACTCGATGACGACCAAGGCGGCAAAACGACTTTACGCGAAAGCGCAGACGATGTCTTTCTTTCCCATGGAGGACGTATTCTTGACCGGAATTGTTGCTTCCGCTTCCGGTATACCTCGATACGATCATATCGGTTTCTATGACAAGTGGCGAAAGCCAAGCTGCGAATTTAAGAAGAAAATTGCTGAGCATAAACATTCGCCACAGGAGCTTTACCTGATACATACTTTGCTAACAGGAGAAGCTTGCCAATAGAGGAGATGGGGAACTCGTCGGATACTGGTGGTAGGATCAGGGCACTGAAAAATGTCGCATAGAGAACGCTCTCTCTGGGATTGGTGAAGACGAGTACAGCCAAGCAAAGAGATGATTTATATTCAGCTGAAAATCAGTCAGGTTATACTCCATCCGGTCGTTCCCGTAGACGGTGACGAACCGAAGCATGTAATATAGTATTACCTGAAGTTCATGTGCGTTGTCTTGTTAATTCGTGGGCAAAACTCTTTGGGGACCTGCTATCGCCCTGTCGTTCATAAGATTTACTTTGAATGTCCTCGCCCATGAAGATCCGGGTTAGAATTGATCTTCAGTAACCTATGCTTGTCTAACGGGATCTGGGGGTCAGGCTCGCGAACTTGGTTGACACGTCATCGTATCCCAATTGCGTAGATCGATACTGTTTGATCACTGGAGTGTCTGGTCCAACTCGATTATTTACAGACCGCCGCCATATAGCTGGAAAATTGCTGAGGACGGCGTAAAACTAGACTCACTCAGCCATTGAATGTCCCATGTATAACCACAAAGGGTAGTATGAAACGAGGTTCTCGTCCAAGGATAAAAAGGCTGTTCGGGCAGTATTGACTCTTAAATCTGGGGTATGTTTGGCACATATTCTATCTTTGATATTGTGCCAGAGCTTCGTCCAACCCACTTGGGGCATACGGTTTTACTGGAAGAAAGTTGTGACATGGAGTTGTGTGAACAGTAACGTCTGGATATTATAGTGGATGACAGCATGAGTTGGTTAAGTGAATTGGGGTTTACACCGCTTTTAGCAATATTCCAGCAATATCACGGCGAGGGACACCAGAAATGGGCTTCACACATTGTGCCTATGTGGGAAATCGAACCCAGGTCTTCGGCGTGACGAGTGAACGCCTTAACCACTAAGCTACCCCACTGCCCCGAGTTGGTTGAGAAACATGACATACGATAATCTGCCCTTCAAACCACCAGAAGTCAGTGTCTACAATCCATATGGAAGCCGTGAAGATCCGGGTTAGAATTGATCCTCAGTAAATCATGCGTGTCGTAAGAGGCGACAAATGGGATCAAGCGGCTAGGCTCGATGACTTGGTTGACACGTCCTATCCCAGTTGCGTAGATCGATGCTGATCACTGGATTGTCTGGCCCAGACTTGATTATTTACAGACAGCCGCCGGAATAGCTGGAATATTGCGTAAAACTATAGTTTGGCATGAAATGCATGTGGACCCGGTTTTTTGTAAATATCTCGTCATCCAATGACCCAATCGATCTCAAACTGTGCAAGTGGATGTTTTGTCAAGACAGCGTAATCACATTGTAAATCACCGATTTTATGCATTTGTATGAAAGAATCTGCCTATGTAACTGTCACCAAAATAAACAGCAGACCGCAGACTGCTTGCAGAGGGAGGGAGCCAATGACCTGTAACAACGGCAGCGTTGGGTCATAAAGGTAAATGCACGTGCAGTTCATGATATAGTTACCTGTGCACTGCACAGTGATAGACCGTTTGGATCATTCACATTGACTACTTCTAGCTGTCATCAGGAAAGCTTATTAAGATGATGCTAAACGTTTAATTAGAAATGTGTTGAATTTTTTTTTAAAAATAGAGCAAACGTAGCAAACCGATTTATAAGGTGTCGGATTACATGAAACGTACAACTTTTGCTCTTGGCATGAAAAAGAACATCGTGTTAAAAATTGTGAAAAATAAACCAACAACCAATAAACAAAACCTTGTACAAAAAGGTAGGCATCCAAAGTTAGATTCTTTTGACATCAGGGTCATCAGAGATGTCATTCGCCGTCTATTTGCTAGAAATGAACACCTCTTCATACCTGTCACGTGCACAGCTGACCTACATTGACGAACGTTGACCTTTATGACCCAACACTGCCACTGTTACAGGTCATTGGCTCCATCCCTCGGCAAGCCGTCTGCGTTCTGCTGTTTATATTGTTGACAGTTACATAGACAGATTCTTTAATACAAATGCATAAAATCGGTGATTTACAATGTGATTAGGTTGTCTGACAAAACATCCACTTGCACAGTTTGAGATCGATTGGGTCTTTGGATGAAGAGATATTTACAAAAAAACAGGTCCACATGCATTTCATGCCAAACTATAAACCATGTTATTCTCTTCGAACACTGATACCTATTAGTTCTTAGACCAGGTTAATCTTTGAAGCGAACGTAAAATAATTCGGTCCCATTAAGTAATTTTGTTACTTGGTTGACCGGGGTACTCTCTGCAATATTCCATAGATGCAACGAGGCATATCAATAATCGGGTGAAATATGTCAAATATCCATTAACTAACATAAGGAGGCCTTATGCCACCGGGTGCAATGAAGCCAAGCCTGATAGCCCAATCCATGTCTTCTATGTTAATTATTTGGTGGTTGTTTAATATTCCAGCATTATGGGTCCGTACATATCAAGTATGAACCTGACAATCCAGTGATCAATGCATTAGCATTAATCTACACAATTGGGATACCTTAACCTCGCAAGTAAGACACCTGATCCTGTTAATGTACTCTAACGTTGGTTGTTTAACACCGCACTCACCAGTATTCCAGCCATATGGTGGCAGTCTGTAAATAACATTCTGAACCAGATAATCCAGTGATCGAAGCATAAGCATCCTCACAATTACATTTTATAGGACACGATGACATGTGTTAACCAAGTCAGCAAGTATGACCACTCGATCCTGTTGACTCTTTACAAGGATGGGTTGATGAAGACCAATTCTAATTTATGTTAATTTAAGCTGTTTCTAATCAGGTTTAATGTCATTTACCTAAATATATTTTATTCCCTTTGGTTGAGTGAGGAAAATGGGATTGAAGTCACTTTGAACCATATTTCAGTTATATAGACAGCTAAATGACACCCTCAACATGCAAATCGTACTCATGAACAACCTGAAATGAACCATTCACAGCAAAGGGCACATCAGGTGTTAAGACTAATGAATCCCATGTCTCGGATGTCAAGGCTGGATTTACAATTGGTCTGAAAAGTCGTAGATGATGGTCTCGATCTTGCTGAAATAGTGTCCAGTGAGGGGTAGGCATTCACTTAAACACAACTTTCTGAAATAATGCACTCCATTGAAGAGATTATTCATTATCATTCCAACAATTCGGCCTTGTTAACTTTTTTCCAGATGTATTTTCAAAGCATAGGTTGTGTATCACAGAGTGAGTATGGTTTTACGCCGCTTTTAGCAATATTCCAGCAGTATCATGGCGGGGTACACCAGATATGGGCTTCACACATTGTACCCATGTGGGGAATCGATTGAGGGTCTTCACTTTAACTACTAGCAAAAAGCACAAAGACAACACAAACCAGAAGTTACACCAAATGAATATTTTACTATTGAATATGTACAATGTGTTGCTGCAGCAGCTGTTTTCAACACTATATGATTGATGGCCTCCTCTTGGACAACATTCTGAAACAAGCAAACAGTGATATTACTTCATTGCCCAGTTCATAAAATGACTGATAAACAAGACTGACTAACCATTCACCAGTAGGTGAAATTGGCTTTAATGTCTGGTTCAAGATATATATATGACAGTCAGATTGTGAAATCGGTCATTTCATGAAATAACTAAAAGGATCAGCCATTTCGCTGTTGGCTATATAAATAGGTCTGGACGTTTCCATCAAATTTGATGTAAATGTGCTTGATAACGATTGCCAATGTTTGTGATGCATGAAACTAGTGGTGTTCCGATGATAATTTTTTTTTCGAAAATCGATCGAAAAGATTAAAAATGATTATTGATTGTCAAATTTTTTTGGGATTAATCGGAATTTGGTTGCTTTGGTATAACACTTGAATAAGTATACTAACCATTTAATTTGATGAATATTCATGAACAAACATGCGCTCAACAGTGTAAAGCTATGCGCATTGTAAAATTTTTAACCACTTTTATTGTTTAATTACAATTCCATTGTCTTACTTGCATGCGTGCATTTTATTGCATGACGGTATTAGTTATAAAAAAAACGATTAGGGAAAAACCCCTAAAATTGATTACATTAAAAATGTATATATTTCGATCATAATCGATAATCGTTCACCACAAGTCCTCCGATAATCGATAGTGGATTTGGTTTCCGATTCCCAACACTACACGAAAATGCATTTTGTGGCCCAGACTCTCAGAAACACCAAACATGTCTAAGTCAGATACATGGGAAAGATCGTGCGAAACATCAGTATAAATGGCCAGTCCAACACTGCAATATCACTGGACATAAAGTCACACAGAGAGAATGCCATGGTTAACCAAGGAAGAAAGAGAATGAGCAGTAGGGATAATTGAATGGCTGACCCTCTTAGTCATTTTCACAATCTGAATGTAACATATAAACATGTACGTGTGTGACTGTTAGTCCTGATTTTATGGTGCTAAGATGCCATGCAACAGTTTAAGAAGGATGCCTTGTGGAGACACCAAACTGTACAAGTACCAACTTTTTAATGTCTTTCTAGTATGTGTCTGGTAATGTACAGAAATTATTCGGTTTCAGTGTTGTGATTATGGAAGAAGCAAGCATTAGCTTTGTATGAGGAAACCGATATATTTATCATCACTTACCAATGCTAGATGTATATGCCGACCCAGAGCAGCAGAAAGAGCACTCCAAAGCCCATAAACACGGAGGCAAATAAAGACACTAAAAGCTCCTTGTAGATATCTCGTGTAAACTTTGTTGATGTTACCTCATATCTGACCAAGCTAAGGAAATTAAACAGCACCATCCAAATATGATAAATTATCAAAAACGTTTAGTCCTCATATCTGATGATGAGTGACATACCACTAAAGGTATGTTTTAAACATGCACGGACATGGATTACCTCCCTTTGATTGAGATGGCTTATCACACTAACAGGGCCTTACAACTTGTCAGCATGATCAGATAAATACGCTCTAACATAATTTTTGTTAATCAGTCTTAATTGTAGCCACCATACTAATGGTCAAACTACTGACCCAGACCACTCCCCTACTAATCTGCTCCAGATTATAGATGTCCCAGTAGCAGATCATGCATACATTGAAGGGAGGGATTACACACAGGTGTTTTTGTCAGTAAGAAGCAGGGCTCCAGATAATTTTTCAACATCAGGAGTACGTACTCCTTATTTTTTCAATACAGGAGTACTTGAAAACCTAAAAGAGTACATTAGAGTACTGAATGGAATTTAATGGAGTACCAGTAATCTTGTGTTTCGTTTCATATATGCACCACAATATTGCTACTCTTGTGTAAACAGGTCAATAAACAATAAAACAATACTTTTTTCAGATAAATACGTCTGTAAATGATTCTTAGACCGTACATCATTGTTGTGATGCGCATCTGCTACGTATTCTAAATTATTTCCTACCGTATCGTGCACGTTTTATATCCGTACATACGCCGATGCGGCCCTTATCTAGAGCCCTGAAGAATGCAAATAATTTCATTATTCTAATCAGAACTTTTGATTCTAAAGGTAAACGAAAGGTCATACTCAACACACTTTGACTGTATTCACAATGACAAAAGGATACACAAAGAACCAGGCCATGAAGAAGATGCCTATCCCCAGCAGGACAATAGTAAGATGGGGAAACACAGCCGGGTTGATGGGGCTGACATAGCGGCTCATAGACTCCAGGGAGGCAGACTGAAACAAAGCCAGACATGGTAAATAGCACGACACAATTCACATTCCTATAGACATAAGTCATGAACCGCCTCAAGTGAATTTAGCCGAGAATATGACAACCTGCATCCATGTTAAAACAAAACAAGAACAGTGAAAGTTTGTTGTTTACGCCGCACTGAGCATGAGTAAAAGAAATAGCATCCAAACAAGCAATATGCATGCATAACAATAGCAATACGGACTGCCAGGGATCAAGTTAAACATGTTCATATTCTTGTAACATTGAATGTCATCTGCTGACTGCTAAATACCGTTTTTCTAATTTGGCAGTAAGGGACAATGGCATATCAAAATTACATCATCCCCAGAAGTGGAAGGTTCAACAGATGCAGAGCTCCAGATAAGATTTAGCTCATGTGGGTACTGTACCCATTGTATTTTTTTGGAGTGGGTATTATGAATGTTGATTGGATGTTTTTACCCACTGCTAAATCGCCAATTTCAGACCTCACCTAAGTTGCTTGTGCCGAAGTGTACAAATGTTCTGGTTATGTCATACCTAATCAAAACTGGTTAATAATGGAAATGATTATGAAAATGTACAACAAATGCAATCGATGTCTTTTCATTACGCGTGCAAAAAATGAGCAGGAAACTTTTGTGTATCCAGAGCTCCAGATAAGATTTAGCTCAAGTGGGTACTGTACCCACTGTACTGTATTTCATCCGTTACCCACTGCTTTCAAAAATGTCACTATTTCAGTCATTTTATCTAAGTGGTATGTTCTGCCTTATAGAATAATTTTCCTAAGTAATAGCAATTGATGTATTAAATATAAATTTTTTGTTTTAAACTTGAAATCTAACATTTTAAATCAATTGGTACATAACAATTATTTTTCAATGCATAATTGGAAATTTTCTATGGATATTTTACCGGATCAGGGCCTCAAGATGTGACAAAATCTCAACCACATGGTATAGCATTGACACTGCCTTCAAAGTCTGAAATGTTTCAATAAATACCCACTTTTCTCTCACAAATTGAAAGCGAAGTGATATCACTAAATTGTGAGCACTTTCATTGGTTGTCTATCTTCTGGTATATACCATGTATACAACTGGGAATGCCTGGTAATGGTGGAATAAGTACTTCCTCCAGTTAAAAAGTTTATTTCTAATGCTCTTCCAGTATAATTACTAGGGCACATCAAGGCCTGATGATGGGGTCACAATATTCAAACAATATTCAAAGGTCTTGTAAATGGTTGCTGACTTCATGTTCAAGCTCACAATTTCTGTGATGAACCTCTATGAAATATAATGTGTGAGAGTTATTAGCGGGGGCCTAGTTTATCGATTTTCTGCCATACAGAGCTAGGGGCCTGATGTTAATAACACTGTAGGCGTTGGAACAAACTCAAACACCGCATTGAGGATGTGTATACGTGGATAAATAAATTCACATAAGCAGGATAAGCAAGTAAAATAAACCGCTTCACACGAAATAAAGTCGATTAGAAAATGGACACATCAATTCAATTGTTCATCGTACTAACAAAAATCCATTTTTGCAGGAAACATTCTGATAACTGAATATTCCTTTTAGTTACAACTTATCATGAACAACTTGTGTGAAGATGAACATCGACGATGATGATCATACGTTTAGGATATCATACAGCTAGAATATTAGAATATTTTGCAAAGTTTACATCTTTGCAACTGCTCATGTATATGTGTGCAGTAGCCAATTTTGTGTTCAAATGAAGTATTCTTTAAATATTTTAATCAAATAGATCTATCGCAATGTTTATGTTTAACCGGAAGAAGGGTACCGGCTAGTGATACGTGGCACATCTTCTTCCAATAACACATAAAACGCCCCAAATTAGAACAATACTGAATGCATACGATAAGTACAATAACGTTTTATGCAGGGCAATAGTTGTCAGTTGAAATAAAGATCACGCAGAGCTTGATTACTATGGATTCGGAACATACATCTCCTGCCCGTACTCACCATTTTGACGATTAACCCGGAAGTACGTGTCTCGACCGCACGCATGCGCTTTTAATTCTGGACTATTCCAATATGATGTAAACATTATTTGTAGGGGTGTACGGCAGGACCTGATTCTAAAACATTTAACGACACAATAATGTTTCGTTATGGGAAAACGTAATACATTAGAATCATATAAAAATCAATAATGCAAATAAAGCCATATTCATAAAATATTGGGCCAGTCCAATTCCTACCTGAGGGGCGTTAGCCCGTAGGTGTCCCACAGAAAGTGATTGAACTGAATGAAGTGATATATCACTCTTGTCATGAACACTATTGGAGAAAGATCAGCGCGAGTGTCTCCTAAACCGTTGTCCCTGGCGAACACTCAAGTGTCAACAAGTCTACTGTAAGATGGCAGTTGCCTGGATTGGGGAACTTTGACTACATGATGTTGACAACTTATAGTGAAACAAGTGCCTGAAATCTAAACCTTCTTTTGTGAGGGTTTGATTTTAGGATTTCGGGAGGCAATGTCAGTACTTAGTTCTCTAGCAAAGGGCTACGGGTCGTGGAATGGGGACATTGATCTGACCCTTGCAAAAGAAAATACGGTAAGTCTTGTATGGATTTTTTCCTTTCTTTATTGGCATTAATGTCATTCATTCAATGTTCCTATACCCTATGTTACGAATTTATTTCAGTTACCTTTTGCATTTAGAATTAATTTATATAATATTTCCAGGAATAAAAGTAATTAAGAGAAAAGGTTTACTGAGGTTTGTTTTTTATACAGAATGTTGAACAAACGTGTAATTATTTTTAAAAGCATTTTTTTATATAGTGAGTGAGTGAGTGAGTTTAGTTTGACGCAGCATTTTGCAAAATTCCGGGGAAGGGGGGGACACCAGATATGGGCTTCACACATTTTATTTATAGTAATGAGATATGACAAAATAGCTTTTGTGATATATGTTTTTATTTAATAGCATGGGCGTTAATTTCTGTGACATGTTTAAAGATCACATATCATTTACATCTAAAGGTAGTTAATTTGACAAACTACTTAACTGAACGAATACATTACCTGTCAGATATATGCATCATTTTCTGAAATTTCTTGTACAAAACTGGAATAAAACATTTATCACATTCCTATTTATATGATCACTCATTTATACTAGGGCTGTGCAATATACACGGTTTACCAGTATTTACCGGTTCAGACATGAAATGATACAGACTGCGATACGCTGATCGAAAACCGGTATTTTGACATGGATTCGGAAAACTTTGTAACACTCGGAAATCTTCAGATATTTCCGTTTTTCACACAGACATAGGTGTGGTGATGATGATGATGATGATGATGATGATGATGATGATTGATGATGATGGTTGATGATGATGGTTGATGATGATGGTTGATGATGATGGTTGATGATGATGGTGATGATTGTTGTGATAAATGGTGATGTTTGTGGCAATGGTGTGGTGATGATGGTGATGAAGATGTTGATGATTGTGGCAATTGTGGTAATGGTGGTGGTGAAAATCACATTTAAGTGGATTGTTAAGTTCAATTTGAAGTTGTGTTCTTAATTTTTGTCCAAGGGCTTCTCAAAGTTTTGGATCTGAATGTTTTAAATATTTACTCATTAATGACCAGTGATCTCTGATATGTCCTGACCAGGTCAAGTTGCTGTCTAAAATCTCAGGGCTTTTGTTTTGATAGTGGAGAAACTAGTTCAAACTAGTAACCACTGTGTTGATGTTGAATAGTTCTTTTCCTTGTTTCATTTGCACCAAATGTTATTTACATTTTTATTTTGTAATGATTAAAAGTTTTTATTAAAGCTTAATCAAGCATAGTGATTTTGTTGTGTTTTTGCTTTATAAATCAAGCATTAACTCGATTATAAGTAGTTTCTTGTTAAAAAAGAATTCTTGCAATACACTGCAATACATATCTCAATATATGCTTTCGCATCACAATATCACAATATGAAAATTCTCTGCAATGCCCACCTCTAATTATTATTGCATTTAGAAGTCATTGATTGAAATGTATTGATTGATACCGTAATAGTAAATAAAACTTACATCAGTAGCTGTACACACTAGTTTATTAAATCCATGGTGTAATTCTTTCTGCATCAACCTTTGTTTGGGGAACACAGCCTGTTGACACATATACTATCATTTGAGAAAGGAACTATGTGTATATTTTGTATGCTGGTGTGAGGAGAGCAGATTAAAATTTAAAAAATATTTTTCTGTATTATTCTACTTTCACATTTTTGAAAAATTATAATAATAATAATTATGGACAGGCACTTGCAAGAATTTGTGTGCTTTTTGGGCATAGTCTCTTCAGTGATAATGGCAATAAATGTAAATGTCTGTCAGTGTGTCTTTATAATGATCTTCCTTTTTTACGGTTGTTTTCAGAATGTCTTCCCCCAAACAGCACAATCGACTCGACCACATCGTCATGGCATCACTGTTTCTCCTCGAGGACCGAGCTCTGTTCCTACCACAGCGAACTATGGAATCAGATTTCAAAACTCTGATGGGAAACTGGACCTTCCCAAAACCTTTCTGACTCGGAAAGGGGCACTGTTGCTGTTCACAGCTCCGGATGATACGGAAAATACAAATGTTCCAAGTCAGAAGTTTCGCAGAAAAAAGAAAGGGAAACAGCTGATTGACCTGAGTTTGAAACTTGGAACTCTAGACAGGCTATGCAAGTCTGTGCTTCAGTATGGAGGCGAGGTCAGTTTTCTTAATCAATATTTCAGTTTTACTCTATATTATTTTTAAAAAAAGTTATATTCATTTCTATTTCTTTTGACTCTTTTTCTGATATTTTTTTTATTTCACGTTTGTTTTCATATTTGTTTATGTTTAACACCAATTGTAATTTTAGTGTTCATTCACCCGAAAACTATAGGTACTTGATCATCTGTAGTAGTGTCTTTGTGGTCAGAGCATTGACCCTCAGGTACACATGTTGTCATAGAGGGCGACTAACGAGATAGGGTGGTGAGACTCGCTGACTTGGTTGACACATGTCATTGGTTCCCAATTGCGTAGATCGATGCTCATGCTGTTGATCACTGGATTGTCTGGTTCAGATTCGATTATTTACAGACCGCTATATAGCTGTAATATTGCTGAACAAACCAAACCAAAATGTACGGTCAGTGCAAGGGAACCAGGAGTGTCACCAAAACTTGCTCAACCTGAGAATAATGAAAAATTTAAGTCGGAGCTGGTCCGAAGATACTATCCCATGTGAATCAACCCACTTTAGATCAGGTGGTTAGGTGGATCAAGTGGTTAGTTGACTTTGCCGATGTCATTGTTCTGAGATGACAGATCGTTGCTCGTTATTTCAGTCACTGCATATGGTTTGCCTGATCCAGACTCCATTATGTACATATATTAGGGCTGCGCAATATAACCGGTTTACCGGTATATACCGGTTCAGACATGAAAACGATACGTATTGCGATACGCTGATTGAAAACCGGTATTTTGACATGCATTCGAAAAGACTTCGGAAATCTTCGGATATTTCCGTTTTATAAATTGTTCCTTTCCTTTTTTTATTTGTGCCAAATATTATTTACATTTTTATTTTGTCATTAAAATTTGTTATTAAAGCTTAATCAAGCATGGTGACATGTGTTTTTGCTTTATAAATCAAGCATTAACTCGATTATAAGTAGTTTTTTGTTAAAAAAGAACTTCTTGCAATGTATTGCAATACATATCGCAATATAAGCTTTCGCATCGCAATATATTGCAATATGAAACTTCTCTGCAATACCCAGCCCTAAAATATATGCCACCATAATACAGCAGAAAACAGACACGCTAACATAACCTGAGAGCCATTATATTCACGCATCAATTGATTATCTTCTCATCAGAAACAATGTGTATTATATATAACTGATAATTGTTTAATTTGTAACCTAGTTTATTGCTGGTCACTGAAAATAAATGTGTATTATGATAAGGCTGGCCCTAAAATGGAAGATGTTATCATTCTGATATGGAAAAAGAGACAACTCTAGCTGAGTTGACTTGTAAACTGGCTATGTCAAGATTTTAATGTTTGTTCTCTACAGGAATATGACAGAGAGAATTCCAGTGTATCAGATCCTCGCAATAAAACATTCTTGAAGTTCGTGCATCAGACTCCTGAACCAGAAGATGTTGAGTTTGATGCTCATTCTCAGCCAGGAGCGGATCTGGATTTCTATCTCCGTGATCTAAAGTCTAGGTCCAGGTAACAGTTCTTATACACTTCTGTTTCATTGTCTAATGATGGCGCATATGTGTCGTCAATGTGACGTGATGTGGATGTTCTTGGATTATCTTTGTCTAGGTCGTCACAGAAGACTTTGTGTTAGTGCAGTTGTGGTGGTGTCTATGATCAACAGTGTCAACTATTTGCTTCCTCCATTCTTTTTCAGCCTTGCAGAAATTTACATAGGCAGAAATGATTAATGTTCTGTTTCATAGTCCCCGCCGTGATGTTGCTGGAATATTGCTAAAAGCGGCGTAAAACCAACTCAGTCAGTCAGTCAGTCAGTCTGTTTCATAGATATTCTGAGTGAATATGCCCAGTGTTCACGAATCGTGTTTCAAAGGAACAGGACATTGGGTCCTGTAAGTTTCAGACGTCTGTCTGACCCATTGAAAATTCACAGGACCCATAGAATAAAATTAAACACACATTTCAGATTTAGCATTTCTTATAATTGGCACTGAAATTATAAACAAACATAAGATTTATAAACAGCAAACAGGTGCCACATGTCCCATATAATAACTTCAGTCAAAGTCATTGTGAAATATACAGTCAGACACTGGGGCCGGCGGGTTGTAGACTTCTATCGGACCGTTGGCAAATCTGCCGGATTTG